TGCTTATTTTAAGAAATACATATATGCAGAGGTAATCACTATTTTTTTAATAATAATAATACATCAATCAAAACATAATTTAAATGATATTAAGATAACAAAAAAATAATCCAGTAATTGATATACATACCCAAAAGTGTCACTATTTTTTTTATAATAATAATACATCAATCAAAACATAATTTAAATGATTTTAAAATAACAAAATGTAACATTCAGTAAAGACTAGGTATTGAAGTTCTCATGTATGGTTGATTGCTTCAGTGCATTATTACACTCATTGGTTAAGTCTCTGTTTAAAACTACACTGTTGATTGAAGTTTTTATTATATACTACATTGGCTGATAAAATCTGTATTCAATACTATACAGTTAATTAAATCCTTATTTGATACACTAAATTGATTGATTATAGCTATATTTAATGTTGTGGTGGTTAATCAAATCTCCGTTTAATACTACCTGGTTTCTTATTATGCTTTATAGAACGCAACTTGGGAAGCAGTTCTAAGTGTTCTTGATGTACCGAATTTGAAAACTTGATTACATTGCACAGTTTAAGTCTAATATATTTGCTTTCGCACAATATATGTGTAATAATTTTTATTTTTGAACAAATTATTTAAAAAATTGAAAAAGAAACCCAATTTAATACTTCAAATGGATACATTTTGACTTATTTAGATAAATAAAGGGACGAATATGCTTTTTTTCCTTTAGCCACATTTTTCCATCCATGCAAAATCTTGGAGAGGATATGGTGAATATTTTAGACACTTTTGGGTATGTATATCAATTACTGGATTATTTTTTAAGTTGAGTCTTTGTGGTTGCTCCTTCCTCATTTTTTATGTACAAGTTGAGTCTTTGTGGTTGCTCCAGGCAATTAGTTTCTTATTTTATATCTTCAGTACATGTTACTCACCAAACTACTATGGAACAAGTTTGAAGTACAAACCTGATTATATTTGCTGCCAAACATGTTTACTAGAAACCAATTATTGTAAGTCTAATGAAAGTTAAAGGTGGGCTTCTGATAAGTGAGATTTTTTAACTAAGTTTCTCTTTTGATTACTTATATATTTTAAGAAGTGATCTTTTGCTTATATAGATGAAGAAATTAAACTTCCACATGGAAACACCGAATCCTAACATTGTATTGTGTTAAAAATTCATTGTGACCCAGTCTGAGGGTTTGTTTTTCCTACTAAATGAATTTATATAACACAGGGATAACATTATATTTTTAAATGGTACATAAGTTAATAATTAAACTTTGAGATTATTGTTAATTGCTCATATGGCTTAGATTTAAAAAAACAACATTTCCTCATTTTTTATGTACAATACATAACTTTGTCAATCACTATACTAACAGACTTATCTACACTAAGAACTGTAGTTCAGTTTTGTCAGGTGTTTTTCACCTGGAGAACTAACTAAACATATATAAAAACAGTAAAAAAACTATAGAATATGAAAAAAGCACCAGCCACATTACGATTAGTGACACTCACAGAAAATATTTATAAAGAATATATACAAACATGGTGTAGCTTTTTCAGCAAGTAAGATTGTTTGGTTGAATATTGATTTAAATACTAAAACGTTCTTGGATGACTGGTTGTTGGGATTTATTAGTACAAAGCAATTTGTTGAATCTGCACCAAATAACCAGTATAAAAATAAAAACAACAAACCAGAACTCTATAAAAAAGAAATCACATTTAACATCCAAACAATGTCCAAAAATCAGGTAAAAAACTCAAACACATTGAAAAACACAATTGGCTCATAAAAAGCTAAAAACACAATCATACTGGACAGTGTCACCATCACAAGCCAAAAGAAGGAATGGCAGACCATCTATTCCAAAAGAGCACAGTCCACTAAGGAAGGAAGACACAACCCCAGGTGGGATGCTGTGGTAAGGACTGAAGCTTGGTAGCATGTTGTAAAGAAAGTTGCAAATATCAGAGGTGAAGAGGAGGTTCATAGTGTACAGTGTACAGACTCTGGACTGGTGAAGTGCGGAAAGCCCCTGTACAGAGCTGAAGGTGAAGATGGTGTACAGGGTACAACATCTTCAAGGCAGTGGGCCTGGCAGAACCATAGACCAGAGAACCATAGTCCAGCTTGGATCTTATCAGGGCACGATAAATCTTGGGTATGGAACATGAGGTGGAACAGAGGACATGGAGGATGTTCAGTGCCTTTGTAGACTTGACATGAAGCTAGCTGCTTAATGTGAGAAATAAAAGTAAGCTTATGGTCAAAGAGAAGCCCCAAGAACTTCATCTAAGGAACCACGGGAAGAACACCACCACCAAAATGGAGCTCAGGATCAGGGTGTAAATCCCACATTTGTTGATGTGGTCCATCCCAAAAACCGAGTGAGAACAGTACCAATCAATATCAGCACCACTCCAGAGAGGATTGTGTCCATTAAAGTCCCCCAAGATAAAGAAGGGATACAGTAGCTGGTCAATATGATCATCAAGATCCAATTGATAATATGTCTCTCCTGGAAACAGGTAAAGAGAACAAAAAATGATGGCACAATCTATGGAGATATGGATGGCTACAGTCTCCAGGGATGTATCGAGTGGCACAGACAAGGTGGGTATGAGCTGGTCAACCAGCAGCACCACATCTCCATGAATTTAACCATCACACAACCTGTCATTCCTGTACAAGGAAAACTGCCAAAAGGTGACAGTATCAGTAGACCAAAGGAATGTTTCTTGCAAGGAGACATACATGGGATGAAATGTATTGATCAAGGCCTTAATATCATCTAAATTAGAACAAAAACCTCGACAGTTCCACTGGGCAGAGAACCCTTTTGTTTGTAACCATGATGTTTTACTTTAGTAGAAAGAGGGCTACTGACTTCCATGGAATCTACCCTAGGATGATTGGACAGATCTCTGTCAGATGAAGAAGACTCCAGTGACCAAATAATGGTTTTGCAACTTGTGGCTGAAGGAGATGGACCCAAGCAGTCACTGGAAGCAATGGTTGGGACGGAGACAGGAGTAGACGTAGACTTGTCGACTCTTGCATCCACAGAAGGCAAAAGATTCTGGCAGAGGCACAAAAAGACCTGTCTGCACTCCAACTATAGCCCTCACAAGAAGTTATCATTGAGAGGGATGTATGAAATATCCCAGAGTTGGAGATCTTTGCTGTGTGATGCATCTCCACTCATAAGGATGGAATTATGCTGCCTACAAATGTTCTTGTGTCGACATTTACATCACCTTGTCTGCCTGCCACTGTCAAGGCAAGTTATCTGAACTGTAAAGTATGGTATTATATTCCTAACCCTCTATGGTGTTTTCAGTGCTTATGATTTGGATATTCTAAGGCATCTTGTCATGATTGTTTGACATGTGCTCTTGTGGTGGCAACAACCATCATGCCTACAAATATCAACTGGACCCTCACTATGTCAATTGTGGTGGTTCCCACTCCTCATACTTTCGTTCTTGCCCTAAATGGGTAGAAGAAAAAGACGTACAAAGCTTGAGGACTGTAAATAACATTTCTTATCCCAAGGCTCAGAAGTTGTCCCTTGTTCCATCTTAGACATGCACTGCTGCACTCCATTCCACTGTTCTGCATTCTTTGTCTGACAAAACTTAAGGACAAATGTCTCCCATTTTTATTCAGAAGGGATTAGTGGGGCTTGCTGGCTCTCCAAAGTCAGTTAAGAAGCTACGTTCTGGGGACATCTTGGTGAAAACATTTACATCAAAATACAGCAAATTCCTCCTGAGGTCAAAGTCCTATTGATGTTACTCCCCCATGCTACTTTGATTTGAAAAAAACGAGGTACAGGAATAGAATGAGGTGGGGACTGTTGCCAAGTGAGAATTTTTTTTATTGTTTTTTTTTTTTTGGAAGGTCACTGGGTGCAGGATGGCATTTGATTTAATTTCCCATTTTCTAGACTACTTGCATTTATTATCAGCTACAGTAAACTGTTGTATTATCAGGTACAGGAATAGAATGAGGTGGGGACTGTTGTCCAGTGTCTTCCAAATGTGGTCGCTTTTCTATCAATGAGAATTGTTTTATTGTTGTTGTTTTTTTTGGGGGGGGGGGTCACTGGGTGCAGGATCCATAAAAATAGAGACAATTCAGTGCCCACTGACCCCATCCACCATGGAGCCCGACATGCATGACAACCCCAAACATAGACAATGTAGCTTACCCCAGGGTTTTGTGGGCACTATACCCAAACACCAGCATTAAGCACAATGTCCACAACACCTGTTGAAAACCTCCAATACTGGCACACAGTTGACCTTAGCCCAACAGGACCAGGGGGAGCCACCCCAAGGCCATCCATCTGCAGGAATTCAAGGTCAAAGATATGTGTTAAAGTGCCATTGACATAAACTGACCCAACCACCGGGATCCTCTCCTCCCTTTTACTGGATGCAACACACACAGCAAAAGTGTGTGGACGTTTGGATCCCAGAAACTTCCTGGGAAGTCCTCTCACCACGTACAGTTATTCACCTTGAGGGGAAAACATCATTTACCATTAAAATTTGTGTACTTGAGAATGATCACACCAAATTTTTTTGTTTGTTTTAACTATAATGCATAACATGTTGCACTGGAGTTTCATGATTCACGTTCTAAATCTTACATGACTGACAAAAAAACTCCAGTCTTCATGCACTTACCATTATACTAAACATGCTAAAGTCAATCACTTTGCCCCTAAGTGGCATTTATGACACAGAATTAAGAAACAGACTAACAGCCTTTTGTACTTATATCAAATAAAGACAATGTCATAAAAAACATTCCAAATTATGATGATCTAGAATATGCAATTACATTTTATCAATGCTTCAATATTTGTATTGTGATTAGATTAGAAAAACACTTTACTATTTAAATATATATATGTTTCGTGACTAGATTATGAAATGCTTTAATATTTGTATATTTTCATATTATGAAAAAAAAGTATCACAACATTAATATTTTGTGGTCGTTTTGTTTCTTAGTGCAAAGCTACCCAGTGGGCTATCTGCATGCTGTCTACTGCAAAGAATCAAACTTGTGACAGTTGGCAAAACATTTTAATATTTTGCATATATTTGTACTATGACTAGAACTGGGCCAACTGTCAAATTTGATAATTGTTAAATCATTCAGCTCATTAATCATTTACGTTCAACTAATCAGTTATTCTCACTGAGATTTGGATAATTGAAATAATCAAAAATAGTAATAATGAGAAACTATAATTTTGATTTAGTTAATTATTTTAATGAATGTTCATAGGTAATTATTATAAAAAATAACACTAAACCAGTTTGATATGACATGTTCATGTCATAATCTTCAGTTTTTATTTTAACAGGCCAAGAGAATATATAAGGATGAAACTTTGTTATGATTCAATAATGCTCATGTTCCTGTTTTGTATGTTATCTATTTAATATCATTAACATAGAAAATTGAGTAAAGTTTCAAGCACCATTTAGGAATTGCTGTTTCTGTTATTAACTTGTGTATCTGATTCATCAACATTAATGTACCACTACTTAAAGTATTAGTGTTACGCTAACAAAATATATACAAATTGTTAAATGTTTTGCTAACTTTGTCATAAGTAGAGCTGGGTCAGTAACTTAATTAATTAATATAATTTGATCAAATTATCATTAGTGAATGAAAACAAATTACTAAAAGAGGGAAACTGTATAGCATAATATTAAAACTACTTAATATCTGTCCTAACAAGAAAGTTCACATACCCCACTGGTAGGTCTGGGGCATCATGTTCCTGCCCGGGAATCTCAACATGAATAAAAACAGAACGAGATTTTATCCTTGCCATGGATGGATGTTCAGTAAAACTGTGGAATTCTGTGTCTGTGTGAAATAATGACCAAAACACTTAATAAGAGTAAATATGAACCATAAAATACTAATTGATTAGGTATAAATTAAATACATTTATTGAAACTAAACTTAGAAATAAGTTAGCCTATTTATAGCCTAGTAATACATTTTTAAAGAAAATTTTCTATTTAATATAATGATAATCACTTAGTTAGTGACAAAGTCAAGATGCATTACAACACAAACAAATACATATCTACAATATATATACATTAGTATTAATATTATCTAGACAGTTTCACATAACAGACAGACAAAATACTGACCTTTGAAGTTATTTCAGGTTCATTGTTTTATATTTTTCCTAAATGTTTCTGGTGGATAATATTATAACTTTATAATTGACAATCTTAGAGGAAATGTTTTACTAGGAATTTAGTAGGGTTAGAAAAACTCATGGAGTGTTCCTCACCCACACCATTTGAGATTTAATTTGCAAGCAAGGAGGTCCAGAAAAGCTCTTTCATATTTCTAAAGTGAATGTGCAGTACAACATTGGAACTTTATTGTCAGTTAGGTTCACTAATCGTATCGGGATGGAGGGTAACAGTTCATACAATGGTTCAGTTCTGTATTATTATTATTATTATTATACAAGACATTACCTGATCTTCAAAACACACAAATTAAAATAATCTTATAGAAAAATTACTTATCCTACAAAACAAAACCAATACACTATGTATAAAAAAAACTCCACCAAGCAAATATTCTCTATACAAGTCTTGCTTGTTTGTTTGCTTTACAGCAAAGCCACATTGAGCTATATATACGTGTTTATTGTCGGGAATTAAACTGTGGATTTTAGCATTGTATGTTCATGAGCTTACTGCTGACCCACTGGGACATGAAGGTCATATATAGACCAACACTGAGTCACAGTCTTTACCTTTGAATCGTAATGGGTGAATGAAAGCTGATACTTTAAAAATGCAGTTATCTGTTGAGTGAGTTGTGTTGTTAACTAATAAATAAATCTTGTTAAAGATATTTGGCAAAAATATTAACATATTTCTCTTAGCCTTACAGTAGTTTTACCATTTATTTTTAATTTTCAGGTTTTAGCTAATATGAGCTAATACATTTTATAAGCATTATAAGTACTAGATCATGTTGATTTACTAAAGAATTGGAGCTTCACATGCAATTATGGAACCATACAAGCACACAAAGTATATGAACATGAAAGGTTTGAGAAAGTTACCAAACCTGGAAATTTTTTTTTAACTACCTTTACAAAAAACCACTTACGATTACAGCCCATGTCATGCACAGTTAGAAATACTGGAGTGTTGTCTGTCATCCCTTTTGTGGAGCCCTAGCAGTAAAAATGTAACCAGCCTCTTATAGTCACAATATTTCAAAAATATTCCAATATATCTTAATACTAAACAGAATCTAAAAAAGTGAAAGAATGATATTATCAAATACTTCAAAACTGTTCAGATAATGTAAAATTCGGCTTCTTCTTTAAAATCTGTCAGTTAATATTTAAATAACAATTTAATCACACCTCCAAAACTTGGTTCAAAATTCTTAACAGATTCCTAATTTTGATCTAAAAAAATTAACCTAAAATATTTTACTTGTGTGAACATTTTTTTCTACTTACAAAAAATTGTGATATAAATAACCACTATTTAGAATTACTCATCTCATGCAAAATTAATTTGAGAAAAAAAATTCTGACCACAAGTTGAGATACAGGCTGAATATATTTACAACAATGATTGTGGAAAAAATATGAATATGACATGAAAAACAGAAATTTGTTAGAATACATTAAAATGTGTATGTATTATAATTTTTGTTTTCAAACTGAAACTGTAATTTATTTTGTAAAATATGTTTGAATAGTATTCTATAAATAATGTGCTGAATCATGAAAAAAGCAAACAGACAATTCAGTTCAGAGATCTGGAATATAGAAATTGAGTGCATTATATTAAAACAATTTTGAAGTCTCACCATGTTGTTACAGTACATCACCATGTCCAATCATGTTCTAGCTAATGATTGTGTATCTTGATAATAGCCCTGTAGTCTAGTTTAAATCAAAACCCACCACTACTCCCTGCACACTTTTCATAAGCCATCTAGTACATAAGGACAACAGCTTTCCAGCACCAGTTTCAACAACTCAATTGCATAGTAACTTGTTGAAGTTGCACCTGTTCACTTGACCAGTAAGTCTTTGTATGGAATATCATGAATACCCATTTCATTCTTCAGCTGATTGGTGTGTAAGCAACAATAGAACAATACCATATGTTATGGAAACAATTTGTGTCGCTTCTCCAGGTGGAGTTCCTTCTTGATCATATTGCCTACATTTACCTGGGACATGTAGATGCATTTTCTACTGAAGTTTGTGTCTGTGAAATTTTTCACCTTTTACAAAACACCACAATTTGCTTACCATGTATGAGGTAGGCTTATTCTGAGTCGTTTTTATGTATAATCCTGGCACCCCAAGTTGATCCATATTCCTTCATTATTCAAATGCCATCAAGTACAAAGGATATTCCATCTCAGAAATTCTATATCCCAATGTAAACACATTTTTATTGTCTGAATGTAAGAGTAGTTAACATCAGAAAGGGCTGTAGCATACCCTTTCCAAAAGCAATCAATTTTTGGTGGCATCACATCACATATAAATGTTAGATAATGTCAAAATGTAGTTCTGATACATTCTGTTCCACCGTGGCACTATATCAGCTGGAGTTATGTCATTTGCTGATTTGCACATTCAAAATTGTCTTAATACAATGTACTTAACCATCTTTATACCGTTTGATATACTCACAAGTTTTATGGTAAATTTTCACATTATTCTAATAATAATAATAATAATACCACTTTTGTTAAAACTGTGACCTCCTTTCACTACAGTACTCATTGTGTTTGATTATATAAAACACTTTATTGAACAAGGATGAATCCATGACCATTGTTACATACTTTTATTTCTATCTATTTTAATCAATTTTTTTAATGAAAGGGTCGGGTCACGTTCACAGACTGCTATGTCTCAATAAAATATTAAACGTCTTACCATGACAAAAACTGTGATAATTCCACATCTCTCTGTCTTGATTTCATGTCGCTAATAAAAGGGAGAGAAAAAAAAACATTGTGGGTTTTAGTTAAGAATTAACACCACATAGTTAATGTAAAAATGAACTTCCAATTCACATTCTTATTAGGAAATGATATCCATAAAAAATTCAGTATGCAACGCTTTAACTTAATGTCGGCAAATTTTAGGTAGAATGTTTCGTAAAATTATTTTGCTTACAAGAAAATGAAGCTCCATATGCAACAGATCGTCATCAAAAAACATCTCTAAATAAATGCTAAGCATAACAAACTTATGTTTGTATACGATACATTAAAAAGCAAATAATGAACGTACATGAGCCAGTAACACTGACTATAATTCAGAAATAATACTAGTTAATCAGAAGAACATTAAAAAAACATATCAAAATTTAAATATTGCATGTAAACGACAAGTTGTTTCACATATTGTCAATAGATGGCGAAATGAAAAATTTGAAAGTCTGATTTGAATTTCGCGCAAAGCTACACGAGGGATATCTGCGCTAGCCGTCCCTAATTTAGCAGTATAGACTAGAGGGAAGGCAGCTAGTCATCACCACCCACCGCCAACTATTGGGCTACTCGTTTAACAACGAATAGTGGGATTGACCGCGACATTATAGCGCCCCCACGGCTGAAAGGGCGAGTATGTTTGGTTGGATGGGGATTCGAACCCGCGACCCTCAGATTGCGAGACAAGCACCCTAACACCGCCATGTCGGGCCCGAAATTATAAATAATATCAAGAACAAACCACAAATATAACTACCATCCTTGAAATTTATGCAGAAAAATTAATTTTTCTGCAATTTAATTCATGGAGAAAATCGAGTGTGTCCGAATACAGACGTAGTTACTTCTTATATTAAATAATATCTACAGCTGTCCTATGTAAACGCAGTTTCTGCTCATACAAGGTTTTATTGCTCTGCATTTCTCTTATTATTACAGCGTTTAAAATATTACATTAATTTTCTCTTTCCTGATTAAAACACTAAAAATATAAAATTGAGCAGATCGTGCTTTAATCGTAAGATTTTTTATTGATAAAAATTTTGTTTGTTTGTAAATTAAGCACAAAGCTACACAATGGGCTATCTGTGCTCTGCCCACCACGGGTATCGAAACCCGGATTCTGGCGTTGTAAGTCCGCAGACATACCGCTTTGCCACTGGGGGGCAATAATAAAAATGAAATTTTAAGTAAGCGATTTCATCAATTGACTTTTATTATCTATCGCCAGTATTAACTACTTTTGGGGTAATCACGCTTGTTACTTCGTGAGAAACAATATTTTGTAATACACACAAGGGGAAGTTTTCTTAAGAGATACTTTGTAGAGTAAATTTTACGAAAAGATTTATAAGAAGATAAACAAATCCTAATAATGATATTAGAACTAAGACATCTTCGTAATTTCAAAAGAAAAATCACAAGTACAATGACGACATGCACACATATATTTGTATAATATAAACATATTTATGCCCCCTATATACAATTCAAATATAAAAAGCCACCGAGCTACATTTATCAAGTACAAAAGTAGCTTCTTTGGTAGCCCCTGAAGACACAGCGGTTCGTCTCACTGTATTTGGAACATAAGCATGTATAAAAAAAACCTTTATTCGCACAGGATCGATGTGTAAAAAATGAGCGTATGTAAATCGCCAAACATACGAGAGTGGATTAAGTTAAATAAGTACAAAATGGTCATAAGAGGAAAGTATATTGTGGAAAATATATAACATTTAGTTCTAAGTCAAATATTTTCTTTGATAGAGACATTCTATACTAGTATAACGCTCGGCAAGTTTTAATCGTTAAACCTGCCGTAACTTTTTGTTGTTGTGTTGCTATAAAAGTACAGTAGAAATTTGTCAATGGGTTGTTTTTTTTTGTGTTTTTTTGCAGGTCAAAGTTAGGTCTGTATAATGCACTTTTCTGTATGAAAAAAGACTACTATTAAACAATACAGCAATTGTTTTTGCACTGAGTTTTATTCATAATAATGGTTCAATAAAACCATCTACCATAATTGTTTGCATGATTTTATAAGAAAATTGAAACTTCAGTATTTTAGGACATTAAGGGTTAGAGACCTTGAGAAATTTAAGGTGAATGTGACAGATATATTAATTATGTTGACAAAAGCTCTATTCTAGTCTCAATCGAAAACAGTCACCATTGATTGTGTTTGAGGATAACTATATTAATTTAATATTATGTTTTGGATTCAGTACCCACGTACGAATACACAAGTATTCAATGAGTTTAATACAACGACAGAAAATAAATTTATGAAAAGTGTGGAAATGAGCTTCACCAGAAAGTGCAATCATCGCCTTCTGAAAAATACCATGTGCATGACAAGTGCTACAAGGCCTACACGCTAGCAAGAAACGTAGAACAAGCTCAACACAGTACTGCTGGACTTGACAAACATAATTCATCAACTCTAAGACTAAGATCCGATGGAGGTATGAGGAAAGCCCAGAAGTCACAACTAGCGAAGCATTTGCTTCAAATGAGTACAGATGCAACAAATCAGTTACCTTGTTCCACCAGGTCAGTCAGAGTGTATGACGGCTGTGTTCTGATTCATCATATTCCATGGCCCATAGTTGGAACAATGGACACAGTGTTTGACTCTTTGGTATCCACTGTACAAAGCAAGTGAACAGTGCTGTATGGGTGATCTTCGATGGCTATGAAATATAAGCGAAAACAAGGACAGGAACAGAAGAAACGGTGACTACAACAAACGTCATGTGCTGACATGGTGATCTACAACAATACCCCAGTTTCTACAGACAAGCCATAATTTTTATCGAACAAACGTAATAAACAAAACTTCATTACCCTATTGACAACTCATCTTAAGTCAGATAAGATCAACATAGATCATGCAGGACAGGGAGGAGATGCCGACGTGGTGATAGTTCGAACAGGAAATTGTCACAGCAGACAATACAGATATTCTCCTACATACAAAGCAGCAGTATATTTCAATCAAGATAGCAAAAGATGTTACCGAAAGAGAATTATGCATATGTTTACCTTTTGCTCATGCTAATGTCTAGATAGGACCCTTCGTCTTTGTAAAGAATCGGTAAAGTTAAGCATCTCAAAATGCTTCAGTCATCACAACAATGGTGTTCAGAAGTTCTCAATTTCAGGGACACATCTTCATCAAACGACTTGCTACAGGATATCGGTGAGAAGGTTATGCACGCTCTATACACGAACAGTGCCAAATCCAAAGATTTAAATGAACTGCGATACTTGATGGTGATAGCGCCGAAGTTTCTTCCTATTCAACGCATGCCTCCAACAAGGATGGAAAGCCTACTTCCACATTCTTCGAGTTCATCATCAAGTCAGTACTTGGCGTCATTTGAAGACGGTGCTAAATAAGGAGGAGTACGAGTACAAAGTAGAATATAGTTCCATTTTACCTGTAATCACCGATAAAGCTGCAGCACCCATGGAACGTCTTACACATGTTAGATGTTCGTGTAAGAGCAGTCAACGACTACGTGGCTGTCATGTGGATATTTCAATAAAGGTATTGCTTCTAGTATCCATCGCAATTTTGAAGCACAATGATAATACACTTCTATCAACGTTGATGACATAGAACTTTACTGGTTAACACAAAAGATGTATTATATAACTCTTACTGATGTACTTATTAATATCCGTAATAAACTTAGTGTGCTGTTTAGCGTTATATTCTGTTGCTGTATATCTTTTAGAACATCGGAATACTGTCAGCCTTAAAACATGTGAAGCTTTACTTTGAGTGTTCATCACATATTCGGCAAAGGGTTAGGGTTTGCAAATGGAATTTGATCTTGTTTTGAATTCTGAAATTATTATTCTCTTTTCTTGTTTTGTCCACTATTGAGAAACTTTTCTATCATCTTACAAGGCACTGTGATGCCCATAGTTTTCCAAATTACATTGAATGATGACGTTTTTGGCAAAAAGACGAGGGTTTGCAAATGAAAGTTTATCTTATTTTTAATTCTGGAATTATTATTCTCTCTTCTTACTCGTTTTTTCCTCCAAGGAGGAACATTTTGTTATTTTAAAAGGCAATTCATGTCCGTATATTCCAAAACTTAATAATATAACTGCCGTTTTCAAGGGCAGCACATGCATATATTTTGACTTGCTCAAAATATTATTTCCCCACGTGTGAATTTATGTGAATGTTTCTCCCGTAATATTAACATCATACAAAAGTCCCTAGAATAGTCAATTTCTACTTGACTATAAAGGATAGTTAACTAGTCCCACCCTCTATTCCAAATATAGAAACCAAAGAAGATTGTCACCATTAATGATTAACAGCAGCTTCCAAGTCGTATTAAAACAAGAAACACTATTATTATTACTTGTTATCAAATCGCTACAGAATATATTTCGCATCATTTTACAAAAAAAGAGGGTATATTCCAGACCATTTTAAATACACCTGAAAACATTATCAAGTAATCCTTTGACTATGACGCCATCTAGTGCATTTCATAAAAAGTGTTATATTGTTTAGCTTTTTTATATTTAGCGTATTTACTATTCGCTGCGTTTCTTATGAAATCAAAAACATATGAATAACTATAAATCTAAAACGATATGAACCTAAGTATAAATCTAAAATATGTTATGACAACACAATTCGAACTAGAGGCTTTTTAAGCTTGTAATTGTGCGAAAAGAAAGAAAAATGAGTCTTTTACGAAAGCATTCATCGAAATACGACTGCCTACCATCTTTTATTTAGCCGTTATCGATTCTTGTTTATTATAGTTTGTATTGTCTTGTTCATCTGCAAACTTATGTCTATACATATAATTTTTTTTCTATTGTTCTGTTTTCACTTGCAGAACTTTGATCTGCTTGTTTATTACAACCTCCCTTACTGGTTCGGCTGTCTCAGATTTCAAATCAACCTGAATTAAATGGGGTCGTCAAATTGGTTAATTAGTACAGAAAACA